TTTTTTTTTTTTTTTCTTTCACATTTCACAGGTTCTTCTTCAGATGTCCAGCTTCCACCCAGCCTGGTGGTCCTGAGAGAATTTCAGTTGTATCTGATCTATATTGTCCTTGGCTGAAGAGGAAGGGCCTGGGAGTGTTTTGTTTCCTGCCCTGCCCTTTCTCAGCCATGGGCAGGGTATATGTCTCAAATTGCACTCATCTTCCTTCCCTTTTGGTTTAACTTCATGATAGTTTGTCTGTGGTAACTGGAGCCAAGTAGGGGGAGAGTGGTAACTTATGAGGACAGCAACTTGAGAAGGCAGGCTGTCATCTCGGAGGTGCTTTGCTCCTGTTTAATGGGATAGATCTGGGTCCCCTTCTCCTGACTCTTGTAGGAATGTCTTCTTCCCACCTGCCTGGCCTTTCCTGGGATGCTTTGGACCATGTGGCGAGTCTAAATGGTCACACAGCAATTCTCCTCCACACTGCAGCATGGCTGTGCACCTTGGAGCAGCCTGTATGCTTCGACTTGGGACTTCATGAGGCTTCCTTTTGTTCTTGAGGGACTGTCTTTGAAGCCTTTCTGAAGGAAATGTATTTCTACGGTGCAAACCATTCAACAGCCGAGTAGGCGGATGTCAAAAGTAAGCTGAAATTTAAGTGGAATAATTCAGGATCAGATTGAAATGGGTCCAGTGCAGGGTTGGGTCCTGCAGGAAGAATCTGGGCAAGCAGTCTCCATCTTTCTCCGTTCAGCAGCTTGTTTTTTCGTGGTGCTTGCAGTAGTGACAAGGACCCTCAGCCCATGAACGTGGTGTGTTCAGGTGTATTTCATCCAGCATCTCCTATCAGCCTGTGGTGTCTCTGCAGCAGCAGCATGCACTGCTGGGAGGTTTTGTGCTGTCACAGGTAGCTGACTTGACACAACTCCCAAATTTTCTGCTCTTCAGAACACAAATACCTCTGCTCCGTGATGAAAGGGGCAACTCAGTAAGCCATTGACACTAGCTAGGACTCACCTTAAACATGCTGCAAACATCCTGACTTTACACCACCAATGAAAATGTGAGTTGAGGCTGATTTCTCAACCTTCCTTGCTTGAAGTTGTATCAGCAGTAGCATGGCCAGCAGGGACAGGGAAGGGATCTGAGCCCTGGGCTGGGCACTGGTGAGGCTGTACCTCGCTGAGTCGGTTCAGTTTTGGGCCCCTCACCTCAAAAAGGCCATTGAATGACTCGAGTGTGGCCAGAGAAGGGCAGCGGAGCTGGGGCAGGGTCTGGAGCACAGGTCTGCTGGGGAGCAGCTGGGGGAACTGGGGGGGTTCAGTCTGGAGAAGAGGAGGCTGAGGGGAGACCTCATCGCCCTCTACAGCTCCCTGACAGGAGGGTGCAGAGAGCTGGGGATGAGTCTCTTTAACCAAGTGATAGGACAAGAGGGAATGGCCTCAAGTTGCACCAGGGAAGGTTTAGACTGGATATCAGGAAGCATTTCTTTCCAGAAGGGGCTGTTGGGCGTTGGAATGGGCTGCCCGGGGAGGTGGTGGAGTCCCCATCCCCGGAGGGGTTGAAGAGTCGGGTCAACATAGCACTGAGGGATCTGATGGAGTTGGGAACTGAGTGCTAGGTTAACAGTTGGACTAGATGATCTTCAGGGTCCTTTCCAACCTAGTTAATTCTGTGGTTCTGTAAAGTTAACCCTGGAGCAGTTGTTCCCAACCCACATTCAGTTTGGAGGTTCACTGCTGCTTTGAGACATCAAAGATTTGTCTGAAAGCTTGCCTGTACTTCCACTGATGCTTTCTTCCCCTTAGAAAGATTTTTCGGGAGGGGGGTTGTTAGATCTAAAGGTTCACGTGACTCTTGCTTTGCGTGTTACTAGGACTAGTTTCCTGTTTAATGATGATGTGAAGAGGCATGAAGTGAGATTGGGAGTCCTTACTGTCTGTGTCTAGCATGCCTGCAAAGACTTAAAAAAACAGGGGCTAGTGTGTGGGTCTGGGGGGGGGTGGGGAAGCATGCCAGATAGCTGGTGGACCTGTGCTTTTCTGGCCTGTGGTGTGGTCCAGACCACTGCCCTCCCTAGGCTTGCAGGTGTCTGGTAGTTTGGGAAGATCACTTAGCTATAGAGATGTGCAGTAACGTTGCTTCCTTGCAAAAGCCAGTTCACTTTACGAATGGACAAAGACAAGAAGGGAAGCAGAGTTAAAATCAATGCTGTGGCTGGTAGCACTGTTGTTTAGACAAATGCCTGTTGTCTTCTGGTGTGGACCTAGTACATGCTAGTGTCATTTTTAATCTAGTTGAATAAGGGTTCTCTCCCTTGTGCAGCTCTGTGTGGACTAAACTACATTTTTAATTGCCTACAGGTGATAGAACTTAAATATCATATATTTCATGCCTGCTTCATGTGTGCATAAGCATGTACGAGTATTGCTAAAATAAATCTTAAGGATGGACTGATCAGTCTGAGCCATGGTAGCAAACCCATGTCTATAGCCAGTGGAAAACTGAGATGTCCCTAGTGAGTGGAGACACGTTTTGAGAAGAACAAAGGAGACTGCAGGCTTTCTCCAACCCCAGCCAGCTGAGCCTGTGGCTGTGCATGCCGTGGCTTGGCTCTCTGCAGGGCTTGGGGAAGAGGAGGGACACTCCGCAGTGGCTGCTCAGCCCATTGCTCCAGAGCCCTACTGTGCTCCCAGAACACAAAAGAAGCAGTGCTGCTTCAAAGAGGACTTCATCAGCTCCAGGAATTTTCAAAGACCTGGTGCTACTTTTTATGTGGATTTAGCATCACCCTTAACCTCTGGGTCACAGCTGCTGAACAACTCTGCTGCCTGTTTAAACCCTGGTAATCTTCACTGGTCTAATTTGGAGACAGCCTGCTGCAGCTCTGCACAGTAAATGCCCTATTAAGCAGTTAATTATTTCTCTATAATACTAGCTTTTATCTTTAATACAACTGTTTTACTGTCTCTGATAATTACACAGTCTTGGATAACTCTCTTAAATCTAATGAGGCATGACAAGCTGTGTTCAACAAGGCACCACACCATTAACTTCTTACCTCTTACTTGTCATCTTATCACACTGAATTACTGTATTTCTAGCCTGAGTGGCTGTGGATACATAACATGTCACTTCTCATTAAGACAATAATGAAAATCATCTCTGGTGCTCTTGCAGTCGGGCTAGTGGTCAGCTGGCAGTCTTGGTGGCCCACAGACCCTTCCAGCAGCTTCTCTGCAGCATCGTGCTCTTTGCATCATGAGCTGAGCAAGATTGTTTGGTTCGGTTTAAACTCTTCTGGCCACTCACACAGCTTGGTTGGCCCATGGGTCTGTTGCTGGTGGGTGGGTGGGTGAAATGCAGATGGCCCTTTGAAGGGCATTGGTGGTGACAGATCTTGTTTGTGCTGATGGAAGTCATTGCTGCAGGGGTGCAGTGGTGGGATTTGACTGGATAAGGGAAAACAGGCGGGTTTTTTTTTCTGGGCAGGCATAGGGCACAAACTGCTGCAGCAATGCCTGGTGTAACTTGACATGACTGCTCTTTGCTACTCGGTAATAGTGGATGGGGTCGTTGTAGTGCTGGTTTTCTGTGGATTTGAGTGCCATGGAAAACCCTGCACGTGCCTGACCGAAGTCCTGTGGTTAGGGGGATTGTCTTTTCGTATCTCACTTGTCGCCTTGCCGGTAAAAGGAGTACAAGGTTGTACTTCTGAAATGTCGAGGCTCCTTTCAGGGAAGTTCCTGCATCCTTCCAGGCTGTCCCAGGAAGGCATTTGCCAGGGGAGAGAGCCCAGGCTGTCCCCTGGGCTCCAGCTGGCAGGCAGAGGGCTCAGCTACAGCAGGACTAAACAGATCAGTTCATTGCTGCCGAGGTGCAGACCAGCACAGAGCCCTTTACTGGGAAATCAGCTGTATCCAGCTAATGCTTTGGTGCTTCTTCACTGAGCCTCCTGCTGGCTTTGCCTTTGTGTGAGTTGTACTGTTAAAGCTGTGTATTCCCTCACTGAGGGGGAATTTCCAGGGGAGGAAAAAGGCTTGTTCCAGGTTATAACCCGAGTCATTCATATTCCCTGTGGATATTTTCTGGGATGCCCATGGGACCAGCTACTGTGGTGTGCCTGGATTAGATCAGTTCCTGGCTCTGCAAGGGCAGTTTTTAACTTGGAAAGAAGCTGTTAACTTCTCTGAAGGTTCATTAACTGAAAGACTTAACAGCAGGTGGAGTGTAAATCTGGATACCAAGATGTGTATCTAGGACTAAGAGCTGGTTACCACCAGCTGGCCTTAAGAGTATTAGTGATCTAAAATGGACCAGAGGTGTTAGTCATGCCTGGTTCCTTCCACAGGCAGTAAGAAAACTCGTGTCTACAGAAGTGCATCTCCTTACCCCACTGGAGAGCAGGCAGAAGCGTGTGGCAGTGATGCCCCTGCTTTCATCTGTGGCACTCTGTATCCCTGTCTTCATATTCTGAAGTTGCTCTGGGTGCTAAGAACTGTCAGCGGTGGAAAAAAAGTCCCTTTGATTGTAAATTTGAAGGCAGTGGCTGGTTACATGTAGCTGGGGAGGGGGGAATAAAGAAAGAATAGCTGCCACAAGTGGGATGGTGTGTGTCCTGGCTTTTGGTTGCTTTTTAAAGGAGCAGAGTAGGCTAACAGGGCTCCCAAGGGTGAAGATTTAGTGATGATAAAATAGATTAACTGTTGGTCTGTTTGGGCTTCTGCGGTCTGTGTACTCTTCCGTACTCATCGCAGTGATCTGTCCGGTATCAAGCATCATTGGGATGTATAGAAGAATTTGGTGATTAATGCTTACAGCATGTACTCTTGGGGTAGTTTCTTAGGTTTGTACATCACACCTTAATTCATACTCGTGTCCTGCTGCTTTCAGGCTCTTGGTTTCGCTAGATGGCACCACCAAGCAGCTGCTCTGCTTCCATCCCCGACTGGACTGTCAGGAGTTAAGGGAAGATGCACTGATTTTTTTTTATTTTTTTTTTATTTTTTTTTTTAGGGAAATAATAATAAAAAAGTATCGCAGCTCATTATTTTAAACTCTTGTTCAAGCTTGGCAGCGTGTTTGGGAACTGATTGTGGCAGATTTAGCCTGCTTGTCCACCCTTGAGCCCATTAGCACCAGTGAGGAGGAGTGTGGTTCCAGCAGCCTGTGTCTGCCTGAGGGTTGGAGCAGTGTGCTTGGGGCCCCTCTAATGGTGATGTCTCTAGCCCTAGACGTTAGCAACCTTACCACAAAGAAAGACAGTGCCACTGAATGCCCATTACTTCTGGGGTTCTAATTAATAAATCTAATGTAGTAGAAAAGCCTCTTCCAGGTCTGCTTGTTCCAGAGCATTGGTGCCTGGGGGTTTAAAGGGAAAAGAGTTGTCCCGGTAGCTGGTGCTTTCTAAAATGGGTTCCTAGCTGGAGTGACAGCAAAACAATCAAAAATGACTTCTGCATAGGACGTGGTACTTGGTACTTTTCCATCGGCAGCTTTTATTTCTGTGTGTAAAAGCTGGTTGAACCTAAGGAGAGCATCAGATCTCTGCGGCAAACTAACTGGGACCCTCTGAGGTGCTTCTGCAATGCTCAGACCTCACGCTGAGCAAAACTAGGTAAAAATCCAACTTGCTGTTATCTCCAGGTAGTAACTAGAGAAAGCTTGGATCAGCAGCTGTGATGGACAGCACCGGAGGATTCTTTAGAGGAGGACAAATGTGAAGGGCTGCAAGGAGCAAATTCCTCTGTGGCCAAAGGGACTTAATTTAAAGAATCATAGGAAGGTTTGGATTGAAAAGGACCTTTAAAGACTGTCTAGTCCAACCTCCCTGCAATGAGCAGGACCATCTTCAAATAGATCAGGTTGCTCAGGTTTTCAAGGAAGGAAGAGCTGCTTCAAATATCTTTTTTTCAGGGCATGTGGTTGCCGATACTGAAGCCGTGTGTCTCAAGACTACAGTGGTAGCCAGTGGGCATGCAAAATGCTGTCTAATGAAATAATGTTTTAATATTACCTGGCGCAAGCTTGGAGCTGCGCCAGCTCGCAGGGTTTTGGAGGTTGGTACACCCTTAGTATACTAAATGTAGGTACCTTTATGCTGGACGTGTGTGCAAGGTCCTGCTTCCTCGAAGGTCCTCTTGTCCTGTTAGCTGTGAGGAGGAGATGGCTTTATTGTGCTGCTGTGACTCGGAAGCTTACAGACTCTTGGGCCATATCGTTTCACTTGAAAGAATTTTTAGGACTGGTAGGTAGTGACTTAGGTCACTTCCCATGGCATGAAAATGCTGCTGTTGAAGGATGCCAGAAGCACACACCCACCTCTCACACACCTCCTTCTGACCTGTGGGTGCATGCATTGTCTCTGGTTAGTCTGGAGCCAGGTCCTTCAGCTTGGCTCACCTTTAGACTGACAAATGCTGAGAGTCCTCCAGATCTTTTTAACTGCATTTGCATTGCAGTTGCAGACTGCACACGTATATTGGTTCAGCTCTGCTGGTTTCTGTAACCTATCTAATTTTCTTTGCAGTAAAACGATTTAAGGAACCAAAGGAAGAGAGGCGTCCCTGGAGGATATGGTGAGAGTTTTAATTTGAAGCTTGAAAAGACCATGTATATATAATATTATTTTCCTCTTATACTAACAGTCTTCTAGGCCCTCTGAATAACCTGCATGGTATGTAGTCATTAAATGTAAGTAGCTGGTGTTCCCTAGAAGTAAAATTCCCCGCCTAGCTCCTCCAGAAAAGCGCTTTTTTTTTTTTTTTTTTTTTTTTTACTGTGGGTGGTTGAACTGAAGGGTTGTGGTCGCCTTTGGTCTGCTGACACATGGGCTGTCTCCCAGACAGGGTCAAGTGTTGGTCTTAAATTCAGTTAATCTCTTTTGGTGTCCCCTGATCCCGATCAGGCCTAGACCAGGCAATGCGTTTAGCTGTGTGTTGATGTAAGGTAGCTGGGTAAAGCAGCTTCCAACCCCTCTACGAAGGAATTTATGGGCTGCTGAGAGGCGGGTGTATGTTGGGGATCAACCTACCGTCAGGCTGCCTTGGCAGTATGGAGCTACCAGCTTACATTGGTGATAAAGGCCTGTCAGTCTGATTCTTCCTCTTAAATAATTCAGGAATTCAATCCCATATGGATGGGTACAAGCTCAACACCTTCCCCGCACCTACTGCTGGTTGGAGAAGCTGAGGCTGGGCTGGGCACTGGAGGGTGAACTGCTCTTTGCTGCGGGCTAAAACTCTGCAGCAGATCTGCAAGACTAAGCTGCTAATAAAAGATACCACAAAGATGAAATGTTTTGGGGTTTTTTATGTATTTGGAGTTGGCCAGACTGCCCCTTTTTCATCATTCTTAAGTGTCAGGAATGCATCTTGGAGGAAAGCAGACCTATGCAGGGCCTTCACTTGGGTGACTGCTAGGCTGCTGGTGCCCCAGGGCACAGATCTTTTTGCCTTTTTTTCTCCAGGTTTTATGATACCTCCAAGCAAGCAATAGGTGCCCTCTTCATCCACTTTGCCAATATTTTCCTGTCGGATCTCACTGAAGAGGACCCTTGCTCTCTGTAAGTACACAAGGTGCTTGCATTTGTGTCCTACACAGGTAAAAGGAAGAAGCAAGCCTGTTGGAAAATGTGCTGTGTGGTGGAAGCTGATCCATTTGAAGTACTGTGTGGGGATAAACCGTGCTGAGCTTATTTTTGGGCTCTGGGTTGTCTTCTGGTCTTTGCAGTCTGCTGGTCTTACGGAGGTGAAGTAGTGCAACCATTTTGGATGATTAAAAGCACCTTGAAATATACTGTCAAAAAGCTGCAGGAAATAATGCAGTGGTGTCCCATGCAGTTGTAACTGTTAAATATGCTGCTGGTTTGCACGCCAGGCTTTGCAATTTGGTTGTTCTTAGAGCAGTATTGAGAATGCTTTCCAAACTATGTGGGTGAAGGCATTTGTACGATGTAAAGATTTTTTTTTTTTTTTTTTTTTTTTTTTTTTTTTTTTTTGGATATTCAGTTGCACCTACCACATGTATTCCTGTAGCTCTATTTGGGGGCTTTCTAAGCCAAACTTTAATATAGAAGAGCCACCTTTACTTCAGACCAGCCACTTTGCAGCTACAAACATAGTCTCAGAATTAACTTTATCCTGTTTTGAGAAACTCCTCTAGGCTTCAAAATGCTGCTGAAAACCTCCTGGTCCATCTCCTTTTCATTTAAGTGCTGCACCACCATATGTTTCTTTAAAAAGACACAAGCTTGGACCTAAATGTAACCTCTAAAATGATTTATTGTTGTTTAAAAAAGACACTGTTTAAAAAGAAACCCTTTTGTGCTTATACTGTGCACTCCAATTTTTTTTTTTTTTTTTTTCTTAAGGTGTGTTTTACATTGCCTTGTTGCTGCTTGACTTGTCATCCTGAATCAGGCAGCTTAAAACTCCACAACCCTGTCCCTGGGCTTTAAGGCTCATACACTACGTGTCCTACCCAGTATAAGCTGTCAGCCTCACGTTTGTATTGGAGGACTCTGATTTCAGCAGCTGGGAACTGTAATAAGTTAGTCTGAGCTTTTGGATGTAGAAGAACTTAATGTCATGTTTTCGAAGTGGATATCAAAAGCAGATTGATATTTTCAGTGACTTTATTCAGAGGTGGTGTCAAGTTCTGGAAAAGGAAATGTTCATTCCTGTAGCTCTGTGCTTGGTATTTTCTTCATGCTGTAGAAGTCTGGCCTGATGTAACAGAAGATATTCCAATAATGGAAAACTGGCCAGAAAACATAGTCTGAGTGATACTTTTTTTTTTCTGGAGTTCATTAAAATACCAAGCCCTGGATTAGAGCTTGGATCCTGCAATCCCCAGAAGGTCTCTGCACTCTGTCCAGTGAGGCTTAAACATTCAAAGCTGCAGAGAAAACCCATCAAGCCCAAATCTCCTGGTAGGGATGAGTTCAGCTCCTGGATCTGCAGTGGGGACCCAGAACTGAAGGCTTTGGGGGACCCCAGGATGCCTGTTGCTGAGCCAGGGCTCATCACCTCTCCCAAGACCGTCTGTGTCTCAGTCTGTGTCTCTGCTCGTAGGAGCCTCTTGCAGCTACTCAGTAAAATGGAATTTTTACCTCTCTTGCACACTTTGCAGAGCAGCTGTTGTGTCCAAGAAAGTTTTCTTGGATGAAATTCCAGAAATGTTTGGTTCGGTTTCCTTGAAACTTGGGATTTCATGCTGATAAGAATAAAAGATGCTGTAAATGAAAAGCCTCCTTTTTTGGGTAACTCTTATGCAGGGCTAGCCCAGGAAGTATTTAATGCTATATGAATAAATGAGAAATGCCAGAGAGTTGGTGGAGCCTGCTCCCTTCTCTGCTGAACAGGCTTTTAAGGCTATAGGAAAATCCAATAAAAGAAAAAGGAAGTGAGCTTGGACTGTTAAGTGGGGATTTTTAAATCTTGGGGATTTTTTTTTTTATGGATTCCCATACTGAAATAAAAGTTTTCCAATAAGTCTTAAGAACACAACTGAAACCTGAATTTTCTTCTGCTCTTAGCTACCTTATTAATTTCATCCTTGATGCCACGCTGGGGATGCTGCTGATCTGGCTTGGTGTGAAAGTTGTCTCCTGGATTGTGCAGCGTAAGAAGTACATGTACCTGGTCTTTGGAGAATATGGTAGGTGTCAGCTGCTCTGCACAAAGGTGGCTTGTTTGCTCACACCTGTGAATGGAGAGAAGATGACTGCAAAAACTACCATTTGGGGATAAAAATATGCAAACAGCCTGCTTCTGTTATCCCCTCTTCAAAGAGCTCACAGAGCGTGGTGGGACATCACTAGGTCGGGGGTAACTGCCTTGCTTGCGTGTTGCAGGTTGGTGATGAAAGGCTGAACATTTCCTTGGGTGGATAATATACCCCAGGATGTGCATATGATAAATGAAGAAGTTTGGGTGTGGTGGTGGTGACTTTTGTAGGCTGCTTTTAGAGATTTTTTTTTTTTTTTTTCCCCTCCTAGCCTCTCAGTTCAAAACATGGAGTTGTCCTTACATTTGAGCTGTAGTAGGCATCAGCAGGAGACACAGCCTGGCCCCAAAAATGGGTTCTCAGTTGACTTGGGGAGGGACGAGGGATGTTGCCAGATGAGTTGTTTGGTGGTTTTTTGTTTGTTTTTTTAAAACAAAACAAAACAAACCACACCAAAACCAGACAAATAAAAAAATTAAAAAAAAAAAAAACAAAACCCAAAAACCCAAAACCCAAAAAAACAACAAACCCCAAAAAACTCAAGCAATTTTAAGAGTGTCCATCAGGCCTCTCCAGTTTGTGCATTGAGATGGAGTTAAAAAAAAAAAAAGCCTTTCTCAGCCAGCCCCACTAGAGGGTAGCACTTCTCTTCAGAAAGAGCAGAGCCAGCTTCTGGAGCAGTGCTGCTCTGTGGCTTTAGGGAAGGGAAAAATTAACCCTTTGCTTGTATTACGTTATGGCTAATATAAAGGTGAATTCAGTCTTTAGAAAATACAACCTATTCATACCCATCACACTCCCACCTTTAAGACCTTAATGATTAAGTCTGTTCTAAAGGCAGTGTCCTTTGCATTTTTAGTAGCTGGTCTGATAACTGAGCTAAGTGGGAATTACAGTGGAGACCCCACTGACTTGTGAACTCTTAACACAGGCTCACGGTTAGCAGGTGTACGTGGGTGTAAATGGGCACAGGATGAAGGGGATGGTTGGGTTTGTGAGACAGCAGAAGCAGCTACGGACTGGGAATGAGGTGACAACAGATGGGTTGACATGATGGGATGTGGCAGGGTTGGCTCTCGGTAAACCTGAGAGTGGCTTTAAAGGCTGCAGTGGTCCGAGCAGGTTCAGCATCCTGACAGCATGCGTTTGGTGGGAAATCCCTTCTTTTTTTTTTTTTTTCCCTAATGGGTCTTTCTCAAAATGCTGAGGAGCCAAGCACAGAGTGCTAAAGCCATTCAGATGAGACAGCAGAGAAATCTAGCTATTCTTGGTTCAGGGACTGGCATTTTTCTGCTTTTGAGCAACAAGTACTCAAAGCCCAACTACAGGCATCCCAGGGCAGGCTTCAGCCTCACATGCCACGTCTGCAGTTGAGCAGAAGCAAGGAGATGTTAAGAGTGTCTTGACAGCTTGCTTAACCTTGCAGAGCAGTGATGAACTTCCCTTGAGCTATAGCTGGCCTCTCATGAAGGCTGGCTTAGCCTACAGAAACAGCTTGCTCCTCTGAGGAAATCTTGCTTTCATTAATTAAAAAAAAAAAAAGTTTCTGCTGTTGCTTGAATTTAGCTCTTAAATTGGGGATTAAATATCCACGGAACACTGCTGTTGGTGCAGGTCTCTGGCCAGAGTGACGACAATGGAAAAGTTAGGTAGGAGTTGAGTGGCACGTTCAGTGCAATCCTGCTGTAGGGCTGGGGAAGGAAAACGCTGCTGTCCTCATCGTGGGTGTTGGTAACCTCCAAAACAGTTTGGAAGACACTAGTAAACTTTGTACAGTTTGATACAGGCTCCAGGAATATGATTCATTTTCTGGTCTAATTGCTGTACCAGACTTTCTGTTGCTTTCCTCAATTCTCCTGAGGAGCAGAAGTGTTTCTTGCAGTCCTGCAGAGGAGGAAGGGCAGAAAAGCACCAAATCTGTGTGGCAGACAGTGGTGGGTGCTATTGCTCCAACCACCAGGAAAGAACAGCTACTTCTTTGTCCAGTATAGCCAGTACCCACCTACCTGCATGGTCTTCAAGCAAAAAATAATGTTGCAACTGCTTCCTTTCTGACCCTTCAACACTTGGTTGCATCCCTGCAAGTGATATAAACCTCTGCAGTTATTCTCTGGTTTGGACTCTGCTCTGCTATTGCCTGTCTCCAAGGTGATTCTCCCTGTGTGACTGCTGCACTAATGGAGAAACAAAGAAAAGGGAAAGCATCTAGATGTACGCTGCTATTTTAAGCATTCAGCCATCCAGAACTGTTTAGAAAAATCAATTACTTTCATATTTCCAAAAACCAGGAGATGGCCATTTTGAGATCAGCCTCTCTTGTGCCTGAGCTCTTAGCCAAAGACTGCTGCAGCCAGGAATGACCTGGTCTAGTGGAGTCAAAGGCTCCCATGTGCTTAAGTCCCTCCACCTTTGCTCAGCAGCTTTTGATTACACTTTGGACTGCCTCTGAGCACAGGAAAGTGCATTTTTAAAAGGCAGCTCTCTCTTCTGAAGAGGCTTGGCTCCTAAGATCAAAGATTGGAGAGGTTTGTTCTTCACCTTGGTTCAAGGAGGCTTTGGAGAATGATGGTTGCCTTACACATACTCAAAGCTAACAAACTCCACAACTGCTCTGTGCACCATAGCTCTAGCAGGCTGTGTCTGCTGGTGCTCCCTGTAGGGGACTTCTGCAGGGAGGAAAGCAAAGCAGAGATTAAGCTTCGAAGTACTTCAGAGGTGGATACCCAAGGTCTTGGAGGTGCTGCTGGGCCTCTACAGCCTGAGCAAGGGAGATGCTGTCTGGAGTCAGGGTATGAAGACGAAGCCTGGTTCAGCTTTGTGCCCCACTTCCAAACTGCTTCAGCCCTCCCTCCCCTGTTCCCATGGCAATAAGCAGCTCCCTGGAGGGAACCCCTGGATGGCTGCAGCATCCTGGCATTTCAGTGGTGTCTAATAATTCTAAAGTATTACTTTAGAGTATTTATTTTAGTTAACTCTCTGGATTTGCATTAAGAGATGGTTTTGGCAGTGTGCAAGTAAAATCCTGAAGAGGAGCATTAAGAAATAATATGGAGGAAAAGAGGCTGTTCTTGCTTGAAAAGGCCTCTCTGGATGCCCATCTAGATGCTGACTTGTTATATGGCTGTGGTTGCAGTCACTGACTAGTTTGTTTGATGCTTTGTGCTCATTCACTGTCTGGAAATGGAAAGGCATGTTGCTTGGAGGGCTTTTAAGCGTCTGTTTAGTGGCCTGTTGAACTCTGCTGGTCAAATTTAGTTGTAGGAGAATGTGCTCTGTGCCAGCTGCTGAGTTTAACTGAGGACCTGTGTAGGCTGCTTTTGGCCTTGTTGTGATGTATGACATTTCCATAACAAATATCCCCAAGTCCTGAGGCAGCTAAGGGAGCTGGCTGCTAATGCTTGAGTCATTTACTGCTGAAAATAGCTCTAACCTGAGGGGCTGTCCTGTCTTCAGCATGCCTAGCTTTTCCATCTCCAGGGCTGGGGAGAAAAAGCAAGGAGAGGAGTGAGGATCATCCTCAAAGGGTGAAGTGTGTGGTCAAGTGTCCTGCTCTGAGCAGGAGTGCAAGCCTCTGAACCTTCCTGGATCTGCCTGATGGCAGCAGTGCTTGCTGCAGTGCAACAGCAGCATCTCCAGGGACCAAAGACGCAAGGCGGTGGTGTGATGCTGCAAACCGGGGACTAATTCCAGCCGTACGCTCTCTAGTAGTTCAGATGAGGGAACTACATGGCAGAGAGGGCTTGGGATGTCCACTATACCCACCTGGCTGCTCTGATGCCAGCCTGCCCTGCCCATACCCGGTGCAATTGCTGGTCAGTTCCCAGTCTCTGAAAACCTGTTCTTACCTTCCAAGTGAGCACTTCTGTGCAACTCGGATGCCTTCCTACTATGTCTTGCCCTCCTTTATACTTGACACTGATAAGTAGATTCCTTGGTTTTGGAGGTACTGTTTGAATATCTCTTAGGAGGTTTCTACTGCCTTTTTTTTTTATCCCCACCATGTCACCCATTGCAGCTTGCAGTGCTTTCAAATATTTGCTTTTTCTTAACCCCTCTGGTTTGGCTGTGGCTAAGCTTTTTTTTTTTTTTTCTTCTTACCTGCTCAGTGCACGCACAGAGTCCCCAAAAGACTGCCTGGCAGTTACATGTGGGCTCTGCTGACAGCTTGGTACCTTAGACAGCCTGGATTAAAACTCATCCTGTTGTGTGGTAACAACTCAAATACCTCAAGCAGTGCTGCTTTTGCTCTGTGAGCAGTGAGGGTCCTACACACAAGCAGAATGTGTGTTTGCGTGAGGTTGCTGCAGACACCAGTGGTCCTAGGTCTGCACCAAGGAAGTTTGGCTGATGGTGGGGAGAACCAGCAATGCTGCTGGAGGAGAAAAGTCCAAATGCAGCATGCAGCAAATGCAGCTTTGGGGTGAAGGAGGATATCTATTTCGATCAGGGTAGGAGATGTCTATAAGAAAAATTGAGCAAAGGGTGTTCATTAAGCTTAAAAGGAGAGGTTGGTGGTAGAGTCATGGTGTAGAGCTGATGTGTCCTGTGTTACCTTCCAGCTAGGACTGGGGACAAGAAACTGGAAGTGTTCAAAGGGAGCATGATACATGCAATCCCCTAACAGGTGTGATGTTGAGGCTGCAAAGATCCTTTGGACCTGCTCTCCACTCTCCTACAAGGAAAGGGAAGCTCTGAACACAGCCAAGAGGAGGGCATCTGTTTAGATTGTTGGTTGGGGTTTTTTTAGCTTTCAGGCAGCAGATTAGTTTTTGCTGGCTGGCAATTTTGAATGCCTACAGGACTGTTTCTGCCACACACCTAGATTTATGTAACGAAAACACTTGACGAAAGAATCATTTCCAGGGCACCTCTGAACAGCAGTTGGACCGTTAAAGATATATAGTTGCATCTGAGGATGCTTCTGACCATCTTGCTGTAAGCAGCCAGCACCTAAATGAGATGTGTGGTTAGCTGGGATCGAGATACCCAGCCTTGCTTCCTAACTGTGGAAGGAGGGAATGTGGCCAATGACTTACGGGCTTGTTCAGGTACCACACCAAAGGCTCCCTCTTACCCAATGAGATGCCAAAAGATGGTGACTTGTATGTTACTGGCATTGGTCGGAGTTAGATGAATTACTGGTGAGTTAAACTTGGATGATGGCCACTCTGAGGTGGATCAGCGGTCCTTGGATGACTTCGAACCTGCTGAGGTGAAGAGCAGCCAGCTGAGCTCCTTGGTGAAGAGGAGATGAGCCACTCTGTATTTATAGCTGAAGTCATCCTTACAGCCCCGTGGGCCATACTGTTGTTTCACTTTCATCTATATCCTGACTTATTTTTGGTACTGAGCAGCCTCCTGTTCTTGAGAGACAAAGATGCAGTAAAAAGTTAACGGTGGAGACCCTCGGATCTTCCTGTCAGGGGGTGGAAAATGAAGTCCTAATTCTGTGCTCCAGGATGGATTCCTGCATAGAAGCATCTCATTCCATAGTCTGTAAACAAAGCTCCAAATGGAAAAGGAGGAGGAAGAGCTTGAAAACAGTAGCAGTTTTGAGCTGCTTGAGGTGATAGAGCAGATGGCCATGCCTGGTCTCTGCGTAGGTCTATGGGGCTCTTTCCATATGCTTCCACTGTCTACCCTGGACATGTAAGAGGTGCTGATATCCCTCTAAGTGGAGGAGATTTCACAGCACTGTCTGTAGATGATGCAGAGAAGACCACAGTGAGAAATACAAGTATTTGAAGCTCCATGCTGTGATGGAGTCACCTTTGAAAAGGTGAGATGTGGGTAGTAAGGGGGGCAGGTCTGTCCTGCTTGGCAGTGCAGGCTTGCTTGTACCACTTCCACATGCCCTGTACCTTACCCAGCGAAGCTGGCTGAACTGGGGCAGACCTCTGCTCTTGGAGAATTGGGGTTCCCTAGGTAGGATCTTGCAGTTGCACAGTAAAAACTTCTCTCTAGCAAAGGGAGAAAAGACTTTCCAAAGGTTGACAGACCTCAAGAAAACTCAAGAGCAGTTTGAACTGTGAACTGAAAGTGAAGGGAATATTTTTTTGGGTGAGGAGCTGTTAGCCTTGGAGATGTGGGCACATCCATGCCTAGGGTGGGTTAAGCAGCAAATCATCTTTTCTAGTGTCTGTGTATCAGCCTGGTTAGCCAAAATCTGGCTGGGGCTGTCTAGTGCACAGCCCAGGGTTTGTGATGATGAATGGCAGTGACCTCCTATTCACAAAAGGGCATGAGGGGGCAGGTATCTGGGAGAGATCTCAAGCTTGCTGCTGCTTTTTGGGCAAGCTGAGGTGACAGAGGGAAGTGTTCCACAAGTATTATCACGACTGGAGCACAGAAGAGATGATTTACAAAGGGTGCTGCGGCTGTTAGTCCTGTCTTCCCGTGGGGGAACGAGCACAGCTGACAACACAGAGCAAAAGGGAAAGAGTTCAAATGCAGGAAGGACACGATGGATATGTTTGTTTCCTGTTTTGTTTGTACTTGGAGCCCTGATAGGTGTTAGTAATCTGGGGGGGTGTAGAATTGGTCAGTCTTGGGGTATGGGGCAGAAAAGCCCCACTATACCTAACCTGTGCCCAAGACAACTCGGTACCTGAGTCTATCAGGAGAGGCTGTCCATGCTTTGGGAGGATCAGAGCCTCTCTGCCACTGGCCTGGAACTGCCAGCTGCCTATAACACTGCTCCCGTCTCCTCCACAGACCACCCATTAAGCTGTTGCCTGCCAGGAAGTGGAGACGTGTGCTTTCTGAAATCCTCTGCAGGCTCTGCTGGTTGCACTTGCACATAACCTTCCTGGCTCCCTCTTCCTTCCCTCCCTCTGGGCAGCTACATGCTGGTCTTGTTTTCTGCTTGCTGTCCTCCCAGCTCAGCAGCCTCTCTGCACCCTTGGCCTCCCGGTCCTTCCTTCTCTTTGCTTCCTTCTCAATCAGGGCTTGAGTAATTAAAAAGCTGGGACGCAAGGTGATCCCTTGGATGTCTCTGGCATGGAGATGCTAGCTGGATGCCTTTACTTTGCCTCATTGCAAACCTACAGCTAATGTTTTGGTGCGTTGCTAACAAATGACAGAAGAAGGACAAATATACACGCAAACCTGTGGTGCCCTTGCTGGGAAGCGGATCCCTCTAGATCCTGGCTTGGTTGGATACCAGCTCTTGCTAAATCCCAGTATGCACTGCTGGTCTCATGGTCACAGGTTTGCGTAGTGGTTTGGATAAATGGGCTTTTGCAAACTGCTGGCGTTGCCTTCCCCTGCCACGTCTCTAGCCTTGTGCTGAGAGAAGTGGGGCAGAGCTCCCAGCCCGCTGCCTCCCGACAGCGTGTGGAGCGCTGGCATCTCACGGTGGGTTGAGTTCTCTTGCACAGATGCAATTCCAAATTCTGGCCCGATGATGCTGGAAACAAGTGTTGCCAGGGGTTATCTTTATATTCAAGTGGTAAGAGGAAATGCTGCAGCTTTCCTAAGACAGATACTGTAGCTCAGTTTTGCAGACCTGAGATATTCTGATGAGCCTGGGAAGATGATAACCAGCTGGCAGGGTGCTTACAGAGGGCTGAAGCAAGCACATGTAATAGATATGGTACCATTATCGTTGTTAACAATGCAAATATGCTTTTACTTATTACTTGGTAAGTACCCCACTGGAAACATTCATATTTAATCAGCATTGATTCTTTTTGAGTGAATTGCTTTAAAACCTGGAGCAATGGAGCCCCTGTCTCTGGCTCAGACAGCAAGTATCGTATAACCAGCTCTTCACTATATCAGCAAAAAAAAAAAAAAAATTAATTCCCTTTAGGACTGAAAGCTTATGCTTCTTGTATTGAAATTGGTGACCAGGTATTTTCAGACTCTTGCTGGCACCTGGGTGGGTAAGGCTTGGCAGGAAGCAAATTTCAGGTGATGTCTTCAATGACTGTTTTTTGTGGTGTGTTGGTTTTGGGTTTTTTTTTGTGTGTTATTTGTTTGTTTGTTTGGTTGGTTTGGTTTGGTTTTGGTTTTTTTTTTATAGAGGAGAGTGCAGAGTATGCCTAGTCTTTGTATAGAGGAGGGTCAGTCCAGCAGTGTCTTGTTTTGGGATTTTCAATTGAGATTAGCTTTAATTCAGGAAGGACTATGAGTCTGCTGTTCTGGTCAAAGCAGCCAAGATTCTGTGAGCTACTCCTGTGAGGCTCCTACCCACTGGAAGGGTGGGGGGAAGGCGGAGGGGACCCATCTCTGCAACCCTTTCTAGGTTTGCCAAAGTGAAGAGAAATTAGATCTCTAGTACCTTGACAAAAAGGTACTGGACAAGGGGCAAACAGAATAACTGATGCCCCAAAGCAACACCTGCTTGTAAGGAATCATTGCAGTAGGATGCTGAGGTTTCTGCACTTCAGAGCCTTCTCTAAGGAGGAGTTTAGTGGTCTGTACTGTGAGGAGAGGGGATACTTGTACCCTTTGGCAAGCAGGGCTTCCTGCCCTCAAACCCCTCTATCCATCCAGCTCAAAGTAGCTCGGTACCGTGGGGTGGGTACTGGCAATGATCATTGGAGGCTGAAGGGAAAAATGCATCTCCAAGGCTGTGTTCATCCTCTTCCCCAAGTGGAGGAGACTATTCTTGTTATCCAAACCAAAATTCATAGAAGTTGATCTGTTTGTCTTAGAGTTACCAGGACTGACTTTTCCATTAGGCAGTCATGATACTGCTGAGATGTGGCCCTTGAGAGCCCAGGAGTGTTTGCAGGTGCTGGGCTTTCTGGATAAACATGGGGAATTTCAGGTCTTTAGGAAGATCCAGAGCTGTTTGTCTCCCTTCTTACTGAAGCTGCCTGCCTTCCTTGTGGGACATTTGTAGATCTTGCTCCAGCAAAGCAGTTGATCTAGAAAGGACAGGCAGTGGGGAAGGAGATGCAAGAAGATTTTTGGTGGTGGCTTTCTCCCCTTGGTGGATTTTGGAGGCAGGTTGGTGGAATGGGAGAGCAGGGCAGGAGGGAGATGAATACAGCCAACATTAGCATCTGGGAGGTAGGTGGAGCTCTTTGAGTCACATCTGAAATTCCTTTGTTACTTACTTGCCCTTCAAATCAATCAGAGGTCTGGCTAATTGCCATCTCCATTTTGGAATCTACACTAAAAGGAGTCCAAAAAGATAACCAGCTTGTAGAACAAAAGGCTGGTGGTGGTAGTGGTGTATGTGGTGTCTCATAAGGGAGAGCTCTCTTGCTTATAGTCAAGTTGAATTCGAAAGCACAACTGCAATATGAAAAACAGCTGCCCTGATATTTGGTCTGCACAAATGGAAGTGGGGTGGTTTTTTTTTTTTGCTTTTCTGCTTATTTTTCTGCATCAGTTTGCAAAGATGCAAAATGAGCTGCAAATAGTAAGGGGTGCGAGTCTGCTAATTTTTTCTCTAGTACAAGTCAGATTTATTCTTTCTTTTTAAACTGGGAAGATTTGAGATTAGATCTTGGTACATCTTGGTCTTTGATGGAGTAATGACTTGTAGACCCAACAGGCACCCCAGACCTTTCTATCCCAGGCATGTGCTCATACAACTACAGACAGACAATCTCTCCACTGACTTTAAGTTTGGTATTGAATATTTGTTTCCATATTGCAAGCTTTGCAGTGAGACATTTTCCCTGTCCCTCTAACCAGCTCAGGTATTAAGCATGAGGCAACTTTTCTGCGAGACTGTCTCCTCCTGTCTTCTGTCTCAGATTTAATATGCTTTTTTTCCCAGGTGACCCTCCACAAGCTGCTGCCTGGATTGGCCAGTGTATCCTCTACTTACTGATAATGGTTTTTGAGAAGACTGTGATTAGTCTTGTCCTGCTTATCCCTGGTTGGACAAAGGTAAGCTTCTGAGCTGTATTTTTCTAGCCACAGTTTTTGTGGCTTGTTTCTTGTCAGCTTTGCTTTATTAGTGGTCCCCATCATCACAGGTCTTTAATCCCTATGACTTGTTGACATCTCTCTGTAATCATTTGCTATTACTTTAAGTTTGGGGAAACATGACTTTCATAACAGTTTGGCTTTCAGTACATTCTCTTGCTAGTCAAACGTTAGTGGAATAAGATGCTTTTTAAATTTTCTTTTTCATCCTTGGAAGGATAAAATGGGCTGGACTGGCAGCTGAGCTACTTGAGTTCTGCTAGAGGATTTCTACATTGTCTTGTCAAGTCAGTTCATGTTGGTGTTTTGCGATTGCATGCCTAAACTAGGGGGACTTTTAGAGGTTAATTTAGAAAAACTATCCCAGTAGTATACTGTCTTTTCACCCCACCCCCAACTGCTTCTGTATGGTAGCTCATGCAACGGTAATTGTGTTGATCATGAGTTTCTCTGTTTTTTTAAAAAAAAAAATATAAAAAACCTGTGGCAGTTGTAACCACATACCTGGTGGCAGGTAGATGTGATGGGTATAAAAACTAATTCTGGATGTTGATGGGTAACTTCAGTATTGAGTGAATTTCCACGTAGTGCCTGGTACCTCACGGGGGGGATGTGACTTGACTGAGGAGTTATTTACAGCAATCTGGGAGCACTTATCTGTTCCCGTTAAGGGCTTGTCCTTCTAAAGCAGTAGCCAACAGTGCTGACTTGGACATGAACGTGTTGTTCAGCAGCACACACTGCTAGATCCAGAGATGCTGCTGGATTCCTCTCCACACTTTTCACACATGGCTGGTGTCCTTATTTTCCAGCTAGGCTCCAAGGAGCCAAGGCAAGTCCTACCAGTTGTCACGGGTAGTTAAACTGAAAGACTAACAGTACTTACGTCTTGATCTGTACAAAATTCTGTGTTTGGCAGCTGGGCTAAAGGAATAGCTCATGTAATCTTTCTAAGAGCTGGCCTAAAACAAAGGCTGCAGAGCCCTGCCTAAGAGACTGCTATTGTAGGAAGGCAACCAGTTTGCAGCAAAGATCTCACAACAGAGCTGTTCAAATAATGCTTCTGAATGCTTTTTCCTCTGCAGCTTCAGCAGATCCTCCTGGGTTACATCCCAGACCCCCAACTGGAGCTTGTCCTGGTGATGCTTGTTGTGCCTTTTATAGTCAATGTAAGTGGTGCTTCTGCAGGCACTGGGTGGGGTGGTTTGGAAGTCATGGTCCACTCCCATGGGGAGCATCTATGGGAAGTGGCTTGGGCAGCCGTCAGTAATCAAAGTGGCTGGGACACAGTGGAGGGGACTGGAAAGAAATATTTGTCATGAATAGGCAAATATGTCACTGCTACCCCGCCACAGTTTCTGTTCCTAATTCCCACTCCCTTGTCCAAGCTTCTGGGTGGCTGACTTTGAAGAAAACTGGTGTTCATTAGCTGAGGGCTGCATCTCAGCAGCAAGCTACAGGCATGGGAATGCCCCAAAGCCCTTTAAGTTCCTATAGGATGGATTTTTTTTAATTTTTTTTTTTCTCTTCACTGGGTCTCCAGCAACTACAGAATCAATAGGTTTTATGTGAGAAAGGGAGTCAGGAATTTGACTCCTCCAGTTCCCATGGACACACATAATGCAGGGTTAATTTAGATATTAAATCAGGTTAATCAAAGGCTGGACATCTGGAGAAACCAAAAGAAGAAGAAATAGCTGTGATTGAATGACTTTGTATTTTGGTCTCTGTGATCTATTCATGCAACTTCTTTCTCCCCAAGGCCATTATGTTCTGGGTTGTGGACAGCTTGATCATGAGGAAATATAAGCAGAAGGACACTCTGGACATCAGTGGATCCATAGAAGCTCCTCGGGCTAGGAGGACAGAGGAATCTCAGGTAAGACCATGGATGCCCTGTGTTTCAGACCACACTGCAAGCTTGTGGCATGGTCTGTGTGCTTCACCACCATCATGCAACATTGCCTAGACCTCGGGTCATGCTTTGTGTGTGTGATTGGTGACCCTGCTAAGTCAAACTGACTTTCCGTGCTTGTAGCTGAGATTGAGGAGTGTTTTCTGGAATGATCTGGTCTGGTCTAACAAAGAGAAATATTACAACCCACAAAGTGTTGCTAAAATATTGCCCTAAATGATGGCAGTATCTTGTGAGGGATGAGCTAGCTTTTGCTCTAACCTGTGTGGGCTTGTTGCAGTGGCAGGCTGAAGATGGTGGGTACCTCTGCACTGTCTCTTTCAAATTTCCCATTTTTAATTGTAATTAATCTTAGCTTAGAAGAGCTTGCTTTCTTTATTGTAATTTTAGAGGTGAAGGCCTAGCTGGGAATCCTATTTTTGCCAGTGTTTGGTATTTTTTTCAGCCAGATGATGGTTTCTTAGCTGTAGGAAGCTGTTTTTGTCTAGTCAGAGCTTGACACTTAAAAGTTACAGAGGGGAGGAAGTGCTCCAGTCCCAGCAGACTTTTTGTTAATGATATGTGGTTTGCTGGGCTGGTGGTGTCTGTGTTTTTCATCTGCTTTTGGGCAGAGACCACAACCTGAGTCGCTGGGTTGAATTCCCTTCCTTCCCCTGGCACCCAGACCCTGTTTCAAAGCGCTCTGTGTACAACTGCTGATATCCCGCAGTTCGCTGGCGAGACTGGCTGAGATAAGATAGCTTCTGGCAGTCGCAGGCTGTCTCCTGGAGTAGCTTCTGCTGAGGAATTCAGGATGAACAGAAATAGCCCTTGCTTTCTGAGGGCTCTTTTATAAAGAGTAACACCGTTTGGGTTTTTTTTTTCCTGATGGGTGGGATGGCCAGCTACTGATGACATTGCAGCGCACACAGAGGCGATAGGGTTTAACGGTGTGCTTGGCAGTCCACACGACAGCAATGGCTTCCACGGCTCAAGGGTGCAGTGGGGAAGCAGCTGCTGCTCATGGGGATGCGGTGTTGGAGGCATCCTCCCTCTGGCAGAACGGGCAGGCAGATGTGAGCAGCTGCTGAGACAAGTGAGTCACCCCTCCTGGCCCAGCTTCCAGATAAACAGCTGTAGTTTGGCAAGATCACTAGAAACGTGTGAACAGTGTGCCTCAGGGAGTTTTCTGAGTGGCGTGTGTGGTGAGGGCACTCTCAAGAAATCTTTGATTGTTTTGGAGAGAGGAGGGAAGAGAGATCTGAGCTGGGCAGTACCAGTATGTTTCTATAGGTGTTCATTGAAGCCAAGAACTCACACGTAGGACATGGAGGTGGATTAACTCTGGACATGAATGTCTTCCTGGGTATGGCACAGTCTTGGCTTCTTAGAGGTGACTGATGTTCAAGACTGGTACTTCCTTGAAAGAGGGAGGTTGGAGGTCTGCTCCAAATGTAAAAGTGGTGGTGAAGATCTGCCTTACTGCTGGCAAGTTCCTGGAGGCTTAAGATTGGTTAAAATTATACTAGCTCAGAAACAAGGGTGAGGAGGTGGCATCTCTAGTTGAAACACCAATCTCCTTTTCAGCCTTTCAAACCTAAATTTGGAGCATCTCTAGATGGCTTGCTGCTGTGGATACACAGATGGTATTACAGTTAATAGTTTTCTCTGAAAATGGAGCTGATCCTCTGCCTTGCTCCACTGAAGGTGGGGCAAGTGTTTTGTGGCCTCTAGCTCGGTTTTGGATAATTTGAGGGGAAGATATCTGTTAATCTCCAGAAGCTAGGAAAGGCTCTTCTGGTAGCTCCACTAGACAGGTTGTTTCAAGTGATGGAAACTGGACTCCCAGAGTCTGACTCTTGTTGTCAAAAGCTGCTTCTGTCTTCCAAGTACTTGACTTTTCCTCAGACGAATTTTTGCTGAGACCTTCAACGTGCAGGTCATCTGTCCACCTTGAAACCCTCTGATCCATTACTGCAGTGGAGCTACCAAGGGGACTGGCTTGTACCTAGAGCAGTCTATGGGGACTACCTTCTTGCTGCTCAGACAAGTTCCTGTGCTTCTGGCCCAACAAATAGTTTGGGCACAAAAAGCAGGTAATGAAGAAATACAGAAACGGGTGACCTGCTTTTCCAACTCTGTTTCTTGGCACTGGACCTTGAGGTACAGCCATAGGCTCCTGCTTCATGTGTCAACTTTTTGGGTTATGAATTAAAGATTATGTTGGCTGGCTGGACCTTACAGTTAGATTGGTTGGAATTTGGGCTTAAAAACCGAAAATCAAGGTTTGCTGGTCTCTTTTCTGCTAATAACCTGTTCAAGTGGGGGAATTTCTTCCTTCCCTGCTGCCCCACGGAGAAGGAGAGAGGGAGACTGAGAAGCATCTCTGTACAGGGCAGAGCTGGCTGAGGCTAATGTGTCCTGCAGTTTATCAGGGTTCATCAGGGCTGTCTAGCAGCAGGCGCCAACAGCTCCCCATCATGCTGCCTTCTTGAATTTCAACCCTCTGCCTATCTTGCCAGTAGAGAGTGTCATTATTTTCACTCGAACTAGCAGTTTGTGTTTGGAAAAGGAAGGGGAGAGAGGAAGGAGAATGGAAAGGGCGGGCTGGTGTTAACCTGTTAAAAACCCACACTCAGTATTTTCTATAGGGATAGCAGGAAAATGCAGCTTTGACCTTGGGTTGGTAGGCCAGCTGCGTAGCAAGGAGAAGCCCAGCAAGCAGCAATCCTGTCACTGGTGTCACTGACTTCATGGATGCAGCACGGACCAAAGAACTGTCAATCTCTTATGGGCTTTAAAGCTCTTCTGGTGACCCACAGATGTGACAATGGGCTCTTGCTTGTAATGGAGCAACTGCTGAACTTTTTTACACCGAAACTCAGAAAGGGACAACTCACTCTTATAGCAGGAAGAATTTCACCATTCCTTTCAAGTCAGTCTTAAAGCTTTCTTTTGTTTCAGACTTGTGCCCTGCCTTGGTAAATCTTTGCTCATTTTTTTTTTTGCCCTCTCATGGGATGGAAAGAGATCTCTCAAAAGAGCCAGTCTGAATCCAGTGCTGTTCAGGTTGGGGAAAAGTGTTCATCTGCATGGCCCTTATTGCTGCTTTTGATGTGTCCTGCCCTTGACCTGAATCTCTTTTCCCTTGCCCTTGCAAGTGCCAATAAACTTTAGATCTTATCAGTGATTTCTTTGTTTCCTCCACTCAGGAAAACAACTCAGTTTTTACAATGTTTTATTTATCTTTTTTTGAACTTGTTTCTATTTCTTTCCCCAAGGGTGGTATGTGACTTTCTGCTCCTTTTCTGAAGGCTTAGATTTTTCAGAGAAGAGCCTTAAAGCAAAATTCAGTCTAAGACCAGTGGTACTTGTGAGAACCATTAGAGTGAAACTAAAGGCTAGTTAAAGGTTGGGAGGAAAGCGAAATGGGGACCTGCCTTTGGTCAGCATGGAGTTCAGCACCTATCCCCATTCCCTTCACAGAAGCTGTGACTGTTGGCAAATCCCTAGACTGAAGATGCTGGTGAATGCCAGTATCTATGCTGCTTGCTTTTAAGTATTGAAGAATACCGCAAGAGCAAGCTTAACTGAGCTATTAAATATTATTAAATATTATCAAATAGCTCAGGGTGAACTAAGGTGTCTGATCCTTACAGGGAAGCTAAATGAAGGTGGGCATAGAGGTGTCTCTGGAAGGAGACTTCCCCACCTGTCAGCCCTACTGATTCATGGGAACTCATTGAAGCTCAGATGCAGGAGGGACAGTGGGATGGTTCCTGCCTCTACACCAAGCTGGTGGAGTTTTAGGCAAACAGGTTTTCATAGCTAGGCAGGGAAATGGCTCCAGACCTCCTTTGTTTTACAATCCGTGTTATAGAGATTGCACAGACAGATGAGAACTAAGTGTTACGGAGAGGGCTTGGTTATCTGAAGGCTCTGCTTGGGTGGAGTACCAAACCAGTAGGCAGGCTCTTCCCCAGACTGGAGGGTTTGGCAGAGCACACGGGCGGTCCTGTTTTGGTAGCGTGACCCATGTTGTTTTGCAAGCTGCTGGCCTCCCAGTGCAAGGAGGGATGCATGAAGTATTTGAGGACTGCTGAGCGAGACAGTAGCACATTGTCCTGGGACTGGAAGACTGTGGTCCATTCCCAGCTGTACCACCGACCTGCTGTGATCTTGACCTGGATGCATCTGCAGGGGAAGTGCCTTGTCCAAATTGTGCTGAAAACTCCCCAACTGGAGTTTGGCTTGAAAAACCATATTTGAGGGAACATCCCATGACTGTTGTAGTGATGAGGTGCTGTCTCATGATGAAGCTCCCTGAGGAACTGTGAAAAGGTTGCTGGGGAACTGTTGGCTCAGGCGGCTTCATACAGGTTGTATGGTGGGCAGATATCAGCCTGAATGGGTCTGGATGCACAGTGTTTAGTGCCTGCTCAGCCAGCATGCTTTGCTGCAATGGGAGTTGAGTTTGCAGCTGAAACTCACGGAAATTACCAATTTTTTAGACCCCAAAACTAGCCTGCTGCAGCCTGTCAGAGTTCAGTGAGTTCGTAATGCCATGTGTGACTAATTATCCACTCATTTTCAGGTTCAACAGCATCACAGTATTAATAAGATAAACAGAGGAAGTCTTCACTTGAAAGATATGGAAACTTTCCAGTGCATTTCTTGAACAAAAAAAATTTCCTTGAGACCAATGGAGTGGGGAGACAAGAGAGGTTAATCTGATCTACTGCTATCCTTTGTCTAACATGCTACTGTGAAGATAACATCAGATGGAGGGGCTGGAGTGTGCATGAGGGTGGGGAGGAAATCTTCCCCTGTGGCTCTTCGGCTCCTTTGAAGCCGTTGACTCATTGCAGTTTGTTTTTCATGTTTAGTTGTCTTGTTGCTGTGGCGACTAGCCCCATGCTGCTGCCTAATGCTAACAAGTGGAGGGCATGTTAATTCACAACTGTGCCCAGAGATAGCCATGAATAAGATTAATTCCCCCATGCTTCTGGTTTTGCCCAAGCTCCAGGACTGGCCGAGCTGTTGGGGATGCTGCTGGTGAATGTACCTGGTTGAAAGCCTGTGTACTGTCCCTTGACTTTTGTGCCTTTGAGCTGGGAGGCTGCTGTGAGTTGGGTACAGGGAGGCTTCATAGTGCATTGGTTCAGTCGTTGAAGCAAAGTGTGGTGAAATGGGGCTGAGGTTTGGGTGAAAGATCTACACTGCCTTACTGGAGGAAGCTATGTTTGTGGGGTGGTTGTGGGACCTGCCGCTTGTCCCTGAATCAGTCATGAAATAATGATGCTCTTCGAGTTCTGTGGTGGGCAAGTGGAAGAGAGGGGGAGGGCTTGCTGGTATTGCTCAGCCTTTGTGCTGTTAGGCTTGTGACCCTCAGAGTTGGGCGCTGAGATGCCAAGGACCTGGCCAGGCTTCTGATGATGTGACCAGTGTTACCAGAATCTCATGACTTGACTGAGGTCCCAAGTACTGCTGCGTGTGACATAAGCCATAGCACAAGGGCTGGCTGTGCTGAGAGCCAGCTGCTGGCAGGGCTAATGAGGGTAAGGCTTCTCTTGCCCAAAACTGGTGGTTTGAGTTAAGAAGAAAGTGTAAGATGGGGTTGAGCAAACACTCTTGTCAGGCCATACAAACTACTCATCCATCTGGCCTGTTGGTGTTGGATTTCAGCTCTTCTGCAGTCAGTGCAGCCATAGCCTGAGTAAAATCCGGCCTTTTTCTTCTTCCAGATGATGTGGCTGGAGGATGTCTCTCATGTGGCTCTATCAACAAATGCTCCAGGCCGGTGGCAGCCAGTTAGATCAAAACAGCCTGTTGGTAGCTTCAAGTCTGAAGTTAGCTGCTGAAAGCGTAGGTGTTCCTGGAGGCAATGGGCAGCCTTTTGATCGTGCAGCAAAGCTGTGGGCTTTCTTACCCAGAGAGGTACCGGTGAGAGGTGTCAGTGCTCTGTTTTGGCTCCAACAATTCAAACTGAGCCAGGAGCTGCTGTGCCGGGTGGAAATAAGATGCTATCAGGCTAGGACACCACTCCTGAGCTTGCTGGCCGTAGCTGAAGCTAACTCTGTAGCTCTGCTTGCTCTCCTGGGTGAGTCCTGGAGATAGCAAGTAGCTGGGGGCCTGGGAAAAGGTCTACATTTGGTACAGCTGTTTGCAAAATATGTGGCCTAGTTTTTGTACGTCTCCACTGAGGCTGAAGCCTGGCCTGAATGTGCATGTCCATGTGTGAGTCCTGGCCTGTGGAGAACAGCTTTTAGCTGCCTGTTCTGCTCTTGAAGCAGGGGGGGGGACACACACCCTGTGGTGTCTGTACCCAAATCTGTCTGGCTGCTGTTGGAGAGATGCTCAAACTGACCTTGAGACCTTTTCCATCTGCCAGAGAGGAATAGATCTTGCAGCAGACCTCTCTAGGGTCTCTAGTGGTAACAAGAAGAGCTGAGGACTTCTGCTCCATCAGCATTTGTCTGTTCTCCTTTCTAGGTGTTACTCTCTCCAGACATGGATTTTGATCAGTCTGAAAGCGACCAAGATATTTCAGGACTTCAGGGAACAAACCAGAAGATGAAGCAGCCCAGCTACCAAGTGGTTATCTGACAGCACCAGGACAAGGGAGGTGGAGGAAGGGAAGTAACACTGTGATCCTTGAGCTGGCCGAGGAAGGGCAGGGTGGGGAATACCCGTTGATCCCTATGGATCTGTGGAGATCCCTTCGCCTGCCTCATCTAGACGTGTCCTTCTGCATTTGTCTCTTTGGGAATGGTGTCTGTGCATCCTGTACAGGCTTGAGCAGTATCTGCTCTACCTGTCTGACCCTAACCTGTACACATGCAGGCACGTTGAGGTTAGGGGTATGGATATGTACTTCCCCTGGCTGGCCAGCTGGGTATAAATTTTGTCAAGGCTAGAGACTGAAATCAAGATTGTCTGCTTTTGGTTTGTGGGTTGGTGGTTTTTTTTGTTTGGGGTTTTTTTAATAGAAAAGAGGGAAAAAATCGATCCTGTACTACCTGAAATGTAACACTTTTTACATTCACAATACTCTAAATAATTAATTTGCAATATGTGTTTAAATGTCTTGAATTGGGAAGATTGTCTCAGTGGATCTGATGCTTTTTACTGTTTTATAAGGAATGTAATAAATACTTGACCTAAAACTGCTTCATAACTGAAATGCCTCCATGTGCTTAATGTTTTGCAAGACCCTAATGCTGTAAAGGGAAGGAAGGGCATCTGAAATTTTTCCTGATCAGTTCCTCCCAGGGCAAGTTGTCTTTCTGTTGCAAGGCTATCCTAGTAAACCTACAGAAGAGCTGAGCCACAGTGCTCGGTTTCTGTAGAGGGGCTGTAGGAGCCACTTTGGTGCAAATTGTTGATTCTGCAGCATCAGCCTGGGCTGGAGTCCAGACTGGAACAGACTGGGAGGTCAATCCCAGTTGCCACCTTACAAGTGAGTGTTTACTGGGAACTAGAAGTTGACCACTTCCCTTTTACCTAGTTTAAAGAAACACATAAAATCTCTGCAGGACCTGATTCAAAAGCTAGGTCTGAAGAGTCACCTTGAAGCCCTGTGATGATCTGGGTGTAAGCAAACAGCCTCAGGTATGACTGCTGCAGGAGAAGACCCCTGGCACCTTCTGCTTCAGGTGTGAGGTGCAGAGCTTTGCACTTGCTCTCTTGTCAACATAGTGTATTTTTCTATAAACACAAAAATGCAAAATACTTCACAGCTCTCCTGGGGGGAGAGAGCACAGAGCAGCTGCGTAACAAACTCCCAGGCTGGGTGCAGATGCACAGCTGTGGTGAGACCCTTACTGAGTCCAAGTGGTCCAAGGGCCTGGTCCAGGATCTACTGAACTGAACCTAGTTGAGCCGCAGACAGGCCTTGCTTATTGCAAGACAGTCCCCAAAAGTTACGCAGGAGTCACCTTTTTTTTTTTTTTTTTCCCCCACTCCCTTGTATTTTTCTGAAGAAAACATGTCTTACGAAGGAGTAGGAAATAAAGGATTTGGATTTTCTAACTTAAATAGCTTTAGACTTTTAACAGCTGAGCTCAGAGTGTGTGAAGTTTTTGTTGGTGGTTTGTTTTTTGTTTTTCCAACTTCAAAGTAGTTCAGAAGCATTAGATGCAAATCAAAGTCTTGCATGCCCCTTAGTGAACTAGACATGCTTGGCTACACTTGCAGCTGTGCAGCCTTATTTGTGGAAATTAAGTCCCTGTTTGTTTCTTCCTTACTTAACAAATGGTCAAAATCCTACTTATGCTGGCACATCAAATGGCTTTTGGAACACATGGCACGCAGATTTCTGAACAGATCATTTATATTGCTTGGTGAAATCAGTTTCACAATGCAACTTTTGCTTGTCTGGCAGAGTTCTAATCTGGTAAGGGCTGGAATAACTTCTGTGCTGTTTAAGGTCTTGACTGAAAATAAATTAAAACAGCTTCCCTATTAGAAACTTGGTCCCCATTTTGAGGTGTACTTGTGCTTTGGTTTTTTGTTCCTGTTATAGGGCTGCACAGTGCAGTGCTGCAGTATGTGAAGAGTGCAAATTCACAGAATCATCTAGGTGGGAAAGGACCTTGATGAAGATCATCCAGTCCAACCATTGACCTAACACTGACAGTTCCCAACTACATCAGATCCCTCAGCACTGGGTCAACCAGACTCTTAAACCCCTCCAGGGATGGGGACTCCACCACCTCCCTGGGCAGCCCATTCCAACGCCTAAATTGAGCCACAGCAAAGTCCTTGTCCTCAAATGGATGGTGAGTGATGGGATCTTGGGTGGGGAATAAACATCTTATGTTTATTCATATTCTTATGACACTCAGCTCTCGACTGAGGCTGGCCAAAGAGGCTTGCAGTAGGTGACAGCTGGGCAACCATGGTGTGGGGGAAGGTTGTCCCTCTCGAGCCCTGCATAGCCAGTGCAGTTTCAGCAACCCTAAATTCAGGAGTGCTGCTTGCTTGTCTGAAATGGTGGTGTGCAATTTTTTCCATTGCACTCCAAAGTGATTGCTCAGCCCCCATTCCTGAACTATCAGCTTGCAATCTTTAACCATATCACTGCAAAACAATGCTGTGATGCTGTTGGAGATGAGAACAAATGTGTGCCTGCATGTACAGTTCTTCCAGTGCTCTTGCTGGAAACTGTTATGACAAAGGGCTGTGAGGGCCAAGCCTGGACACATTCTCCTTCTGGAGGGAAGTGTTGTGATATCCTCTTTATAGATGGAGTTTACAGTTCGTGATGTGCCTTTGCTCTTACTAATCTTGGGACAGCAGGAGCAAAAATGCTGGGTTTCCACGTCATATGCTACTGTATTTAAAGGCAGGATCAGTCTTCTCTATGTGGTTAAATTCTCAGTTTAGTGTGGGAGTAGACCCCTAGGCTCTGTTCACGTAACACACTTCTTGCTTCTTACCAAGTGTATAGAGGCTGAAGAGCATCATGGACTTTTAATTTTCTGCTGAATTTACTTTGGTCCCCAACCTATTGTTAACTTGTAAGTGGTTCTTTCAGCCATCTGGTAACAGGAGCTTGTCCAGCAGCATAAAACATACATAACCTTAGCTTCAAAGCTCATTTCATCTTTGCCAAATGAAAGCTTCACTGCAGTGTTCACTGTAAAATATTTATTGTGAAATGGATAACGGGAACCTTAACAAGAACTTGAGTATATTGCTCCAGGTGCTTCATAGGGCTGCAAAGTTGGACTTGATCATTGTTCTTTCCAGGCCCTGAAAGAAATATGTTTCCTTGGCTAGAGGAGGAGGAAGAGGAGTAATGATGCACCTGAAGCATTAGCAATATATATGTGTGTATATACATATCTATATACAGGAGAGATGAGACGAGAGGAGAGCCAAAGCCAATTGCTCCCCTTAGCAATACACTTGAACAGCAAAATGTGGGAGGAGAGTGAAGATTTCAAAGAAATCTCTTTTCAGTAAGGATAGTATGAAGAAGACACCTGCCAAACCCTGGACTGTCTGGAAGTTCACTGCCACTATCCTGTTCATCCTGCGCTAGTGAAATGGGAGGTTATTTGGAAATGGGCTGGGTGATCTTCCCACTGTCTTCTTGGGTGGTGAAAACTTCACAGACGCTCCTTCTCATCTCCTTTCTGGCCCACGAGCACGCTGCAGAGCGTTAACCACTTTGGTTAATGCATGGTCAGGACTGTGCAGAAGGTCTTGACATCGGTTCTCCCTTGCAAGAGAGCTTTTTTTCAAGATAGCTGGTCCCAAAGCAGTATTTTTTTCTTGAAGTTTTGTTCTGAAGCATGAGTTCTGCACTAACTGAGCCCTCTGTAAGGATCTTCTAGAGTGCAGTTAAATCTAGCTGGTTGCTTTTGGCAGTTTCCTTGTCCCCACAGCACATGGTGTGAGTAAGTAACCATGCTGTATACCTGCTCTGCACATGGTGTGAGTAAGTAACCATGCTGTATACCTGCTCTGCTGCCACAGTGCTAGAAGTACTAAACTAGATGATCAAGCAACTGGAAAATCACCACCCCACCCCCAGCAGCTGGAGCTCCTACAGCAACATGATTTAATTGTTAAAGTTCAATCTTGACTGCATATTATTTCTGTATGTCTCTGGCAACTCTCTGAACACATGGATCTCATTTAGCTCCTGGAGATGCTTCCACACCTACCCTCCTTCCTTACAGTTCTGGAAAGGCAGAGTATACATGAGCTCAATTTGGCCTTGCCATGTAAATGTGGTTGTCAAAGTCCTCTTTGGCCAAGTTCTCTATGAAGCAAACTCCCCCGTGGCTGATCTATAGTGTTATTCAGTGATGCCTCACTTTAAAATAGACCACAGCCTTGCACTTCGGCTTTGGAGGCTTCATTGCAGAGCAGCACCACCTGCAGTGGGGGTGGTTGGCAGACCCTTCTGTAACCTCCTGCTGCCAAATTCCTGCTGCATACAAATTCCTGCAGTGTAAAGAAGGAGAAGGAGCCAGGGGAAACTGGGATGAAATTTTTTTGACAATTTGGAGTAAATAAAGACTTCCTTCCTGATGAGAAAAGCAGTTAGAAACGTCTAGTCTAAATTCAAAAGGCTGCTTTATAGGGTGATAAGCTGTCACAGGTGCTGGTTCATCATCCTTTAGAGAATTTAAGTCTCTGCTAAACAGAAGTATACTCTGCTCAAGGAGGTGGCAGGTCTGTTGGAAGCTCACAGTGAAACTTTGTTTCTCTCTGACGGAGTCAAGACTCTAGTAATCACTAAACCTGTGATGTTATTTAATTGAGATGCTCCATGAAATGGAAGCCTGCACCACTCCTGTTGCTGCTGAAGCCTGGAGGTGCATTTTAAGCACACAGCCCATGCACCGAGACAGCAATAAACCACATGAAGGTTTTAACCACTGTTTTAAGAGTCCATAGTGGTTCAGGGAACATTATGCTTAGTGGCAAATTCAGACCTTATCCCAATAACCAGGAAAGCAACACCCTCCTGTGGGCTGTTGATTTAAGGTTTTGATTTTTATCTCTGATGCTAGTGGGTCACTGCAGATGAATATCCACCCACCTCTCCTCTCTCTCTCTCTTCTTTCCCCAGGGACCATGGTTGGAGCAGGTGCTCCCAGTGACAAAGAAGTGTATCACCCACGGTTGTCTCTCTAGCTAAGCACTGTGTTGCACATTCTGTGCCTCTCACTGGCTGCACTCGTCTAGCCCCTGGGGGTATTGCACAGATCCCTGCATGGGTTTATTTCAAGGCCAGCAGCTCTCTGCCCTGTTCAATGTGAGTGCTGGCCCATTTCTCCCTCCCTTCCCACTGGGAGAGCACCGATCATGCCTTTAACCATTTCTTCAACACACACCCCCCCCTTGTCTTCAGGAATTTGATGAATAATGTTCATCTAGCATGAAAGAGAGACAACTGATATCCAAGGAAAAGGGGCCTTG